AAACCTGTTGGTTTAACCAGTGTATTTTTTGACAGTTGCCTCAACAAAAACACAGAAGTTTTTGCATGAATATTATACAGAGCAACTATGACGGAAAATGGCTTCCTTTTTCACCCCCATTAAAATTAGTATCTTATTTTAAAGTCAGTCTTTTTTTTTTATAAGGTAATGAAAAGAAAAGGTGACAAAAGTTACATTTATCCTGATCAAGAAGTATAAATATTAATTGATTATAATGCACTCACACATGCCATGAAAAGAAGAAGCAGAAACCAAACTTTACCTTCACAAGAGAAAATGTCCTGGCTAGCCGTGTCCGCATTCTGAGCAGCATCCATGTTATTCTCAAGCCTAAAACGCCGCAGTGGCAGAGGTCTCGCCTTGGGCGTCGTCACAATGTTGTCGGGAAGGAACCCATCGAACTCCGACGGCGTTCCATCGTAGTCGGAAGAAGCGCTGGCACCCAGAAAATGTCCAGGGGTCGTCCTCGCTACATCAAACAGCCCGTCCTGGTTGGGCGTGCAGAAGCCGGAGTCGGGGGTATCCATAGAGCTGCTACCGTCTGCCAGAGCGGTGTCGCTTATTGACGGCAACATGGCCGGTGAACGGTATGTGGGAGACCAGTCGAAGAACGTACCCGCAAAATTTGCGTTGCTGGAGGTTGCAGTGCTGCTCACAGGCAGTGTAATACTTTTATGCTTTTTAAATTTGGAGAATGATGCTGATTTGATATTTGAGGTAGACGGAGTCTTTGAAGTGCTTTGAGTCTGAGTCGGAGCAGATCTCATACTATTGTGGCCGGCTTGAAGTGAATAGGAAGCTAGCATTGGGCTGGACTGAGTTAAGCTCCATACAGCAGCCGAACTATGAGAATGTGTGTCATCACTTTTCATCTTTGATGAGCTTAAATGGCTGAACGTACCCATCCCCCCACCCATGAAACCCAAGTCCACTGCGGACACCACTAAAGGAGATGCCATCTCATATATCGAGTCTTCAAAATCAGAACTGCCAGTAGTATGGTAAGTACCATCCCCTGCAAAACTTAAAGATTTCGAAAATGGCACTTTCCTGCAAGCAGATTTCTCCAGAACGTCTTTTGGGAAAGTAAGCACAGCATCCATATGTGACACATCATCATAACTCTTCCTTCCGCTACCTTCATCTCTTTTCTGCTTTGTTGCTTCAAACATGCCGTCGTTTTCCACAGACCGTTCATCCTCATTGATTTCATCTTCCTTGATCAGAAGAATGTTCATTAGATCTTCCTCACCTTCATCCTGCCCCCTAGCACCAAAGCCATAATCTCGGGAGTCCATCTTGGTGGGGCAAAGAATCGAGCCTAAAATATGTTAAAAACCTGTGGGAAAAACAGCAACACTGTGTTAAAAAATTTAATGTTTTATTTTACTCTAAGAACAAGCCCCCCTGAACCCCCCACGCCACCCCACCCACAATTTACCCTCTATAAGAAAAGAAAACCTACACTCCACAACAAGCGACCACCTCAATAAACACATAAAAAGAGTCCTAACCCGAATCCTGACCCAACCCTTAACCCCACCTTTACCCCAACCCTAAAAACCTAACCCTCAACAAACTCAACACAGAAGAGACCTACCCATACTCCTACCCCTAACCCTCAACAAAACAAATCCTACCTCCACCCCTACCCCAACCCCTAGTTCATACCACTACCCTACCCCTTACCCTAATAATCCTCAACAAACAAAATAAAGGAGAGACCTACCCCTACCCCTAACCCCATCCCTACCATCCTAACCCTAACTCTACCGCAAACCCTAGGCTACCCCTACCCCAACCGTTCACAAACTCAATAAAGAAGAGGCCTAACCCTACTCCATCCCACCCCCACCTCTTACCCTCAAGAAACAAAACAAAAAAGAGACCTGCTATTACCCCTACCCCTAACTCCACTCCGACTCCAACACTAACCCCAACGACCTACCCCTAGCCCTAAACAAACACTTAAAGAGGAGACCTACCCCTACCCCTACACGAAACCCTAATCCTAAAAAAAATGCAAAGAAAAGACCCAACCCTACCCCCTACCCCCATCCCAACCCAACCCCAAGGAAAGACCTATCCCCCTAACCCTATCCCAGTCCAGACCCTACCCCTACCCACACCTCTATCCCAACCCCTACCCATACTATACCCTCCAACCCCCTACCCCAGACCCTACCCATACCTCTACCCCTATCCCTAAACATAAACCTAACCCCTTTCTATTTTTCTCAGTTTCATATTGGTCGCTCTTTGCGGAATTCCTCCTCTCTAATAATAATACAATGCAGGCCTATTTTGCTAGAATTAATCGCGGTGAGAATTTGGTTAGAAACCGAAGAAAACCTGGCAACTCAGCGCTCCAAAAACAATGGAAGTAGACAAAGTCTGCGGGGTCAACAATGGCTGCGCCTTGATTGAAGTCTACTAATCCCCGACTCAGACCTTCGAAACTTTAAACTGGGCCTAAAAAAGCGCAAATTACCGTAATTTTGTTATGAACAGATATCTATGGTCTATGGTACATAAACAGTGGCTTTCGGTCTCCCATCAAGATTTTGGAAGCCGCCATTAAGTATATCTAGATCTAGACCTAGATATCTAGATCTAGATTTAATAGAGGTCGCTCGTTACGGAAATCCTCCCTACTCACACATAACAAACAGACTCAAAGACTGAAGAAAGCCAGATACAGGCCCAGAAAGTGAGAGAGAATGGAGATCACCACTCACCCTGTCTCTACTGTTACAACTTACATTGTTATTTTCTACGTCAGTGACTGAGTGTCACAGATTAGATTGATATCATCTAGATTCTATAAATAGAGAGATCTACAATCTCTAGAATATAAGTATGGAAGTGGCTATTCTCATCCGGGGTGAGAATAGAAAAACGATCTAGATCTACCTCTCACCCCGGGTGAGACTTGCCAGCGTAGAGGCTATTCTCACCTGGTGCGAAACAAGACCTGCTTTTCCTCATTTTGGAATACTGTCTATCGGTGTGGATGATCAAATTGATAAAAGCCAAGAAAAAATTACGTTAGCAGCACAAATGTAAGCTAATTTGATCGTCTTCAAAGATGCTATGGCTATTTCACTGTTCGAATCGAGCCGAACTACGTGGGTCGCCATTTTGTTTTGCCCGGAAGTTCTCGCAAGATCTACTCCTCCCCTCTCTCTCTCTCTCTGTCTCTTTCTGAATACTGTCTATCGGTGTGGACGATCAAATTGACCAAAGCCAAAACAAAGTTAAAAAATGATGTTAAAACACAAAAGTAAATTAATTTGGTTGTCTACAAAGATGCTACGGCTATTTAACTTTTCGAATCGAGCCGAACTACGCGAGTCGCCATTTTGTTTTGACCGGAAGTTCTTGCGCTACTCCTCTCTCTCTCTCTCTCTCTCTCTCTCTCTCTCTCTCTCTCTCTCTCTCCACTACCCACAGACAAAATTGTACGCTTTTAGTAGGCTACAGTTGTAATGGAACGTTTGTTCACGGCACAGAATTCTACAATTTTTCTGTTATCACAGTGTAGAATTCTGTGGTTTAGGGTGAACGCAAAATTTGTTGGCCAAGATCTAGGCTATAACGGTGAATGCGCACCGGGTGAGAATAGCCAAAAGACTCGCCTGCATTATTCAATTCTCATCCCGGGTGAGAATAGAGGTGGCAGTATACATCTAGATCTAGATTCTAGATCTAGATTCTAGATTCTAGATCTAGATCTAGATCTAGATTATAGATCTAGAATCTAGATCTAGATATATTGCTAGTTTCATAATCACCTGATATATAAGATCTACTTCATGTCCACAATCATCAGTTCCCTTCAGCTTGGCTGCCCTCATCGACATCAGCCATTTTCCCTTCGGACTGGACCTTTCATGATTGTGAGATCAGTTAGCCATGTTTGAAGTTCGTGCCTAGAGGTAGAAAAGGAAGTAGCCTATGTGGCAGCAATTGGATAGACTAGTGGCCAGATTTATGTCATGTTATAAGTTAAAGCTAAATCTAAACGTCTCGTGAATTACAATTAATTTATTTACAAAGGTCGTAAGCAGTGTAAACCTATTACATGTACATTGTACATGTATTTGGTTCAGAAAGGGGTGGGATTGGGGGGGGTGTAGTTTTAGTTCGAATTTTAAGGTTCTTGCAGCTCAATTAGGTCATACAAGTGCTGGCGATTAACAGTGTCGAGTCGTTACAAGAATAACAATTTACACAAAAAAGGAGAAGCGGACGATAGATGTTTGATAGGAGAATAGGAGCAAAGTAAACCACACCAGAGCAACAGAGAGGAGAAGGGGGCGGGGTTGATAGACATAGATGTTTACGTCTGACAAGAAACAAATAGAGTATATAATCTTTAAAAAGAGCATTTATTACGATTCAACATAAAAAGTTGAAACATAATGCTTTTAACAGATATAATGGTAATTAGAAGACAAAAGCGAAAAAAAAACCCATCAAACCAAAACAAAACGATATGAAAATAAAATGTCTAGAAAAAAAATTCAGAACAGATTTCAATGTGCTTACAATTAGACCAAACTAGGTAAGAAAATGGAAATGTTGCTATCAGACTTGCAGCGCACACTCTTCGACTAAAGCATACGTACTACAGTACTGTCCAAATGGATTTTTATAGATATATAGCCACAAATCCCTTTAATGTGTGTGTGTGGGGTGTGTGTGTGTGAGTGTGTGAGTGTGAGTGTGTGAGTGTGTGTGTGTGTGTGTGTGTGTGTGTGTGTGTG